GCACTGAGGGTGAAGCCTGTTCCAGCTGCCATAGCGTAGGAGGCAGGGTACACTCTGGACAGGTCACCAGTCTTTGGACTGTGGGAGGAAGCCAGAGTACCCAGAGAGAAGCCATGGAGAGAGCATGCAAACTCCACACAAAAGGTCCCAGTCAGGTTATTAATTCAAACCCAAAACCTGCTTGCCATGACTCAACGGTGCTAACTAAAGTGCGATGATGTGCTGTTTGACAAGCAAGGTAGGACTCTGAGATAATGAAAATGAACTAAACAAGGCAGTTTTATTTCTGTAGCTTGAAAACTAAAAAATACCAAAAACTCACAAGAGGTGGAAACTAGGAAACTTGAAAGCTACAAGGGAAACATGGAAGTCACAGAAAATAGGTGAACGCAAGGCAAAATAGGACAACGCAAAAAATAAATAGAGGAAAACCAAGGACTTAAATACACATACAGGAGAAAAACAGGAAGTGCAACAGGTGGGAACACACCTGGAAGTAATAACAGACCAAAGAGACAGAGGAAGTAAAACTGAAAACAATTCACACAGAATGAGAGACTATTAAAATGAAACAGCAAGTAACAAACACAGAGACACAGACTAAGACACATGACTGACAAATGAGACAGAGAGGAATAACAAAAAACACGGAGAAAAGACTGACTACCAAGGAGACTCGATGAGACAAAGACAGACTGGACACGAAGAAGGGAACGGACATGAAATCAAACAAGAACCAAAAACTAGAAACATGAGTAACAAAACTCAGAGACTCTCAAAAACTGAACAAAAGCATTTTATAATTCAAAAGAATAAATAACAGTCCAAACAACTCGATCAAAATCTAAACCCCCGAATATGAAATAACCCAAAATCAAAAGCCAAATCGCATAAACACAGACACACAGCACCACCATGCTGCCTTTTTATTAAGATACAGAATACACTACTGAGATAACTGCAGAGGACCCCAGGATCAATAATTAAGCAAATAAATAGTTAAATGAATATTTTTAACTTAAGTTTTTCAAGTTGGAAGGTGGTTTTAGACGCTCATGAATAACTACAAAAAAATTAATAAATTATACAGCCACTGACAGTGTTAATTTTTCATGTAATTTTTATTTATCTATTTTATTTTTCAAACATTTTTCCTGAGTCTAGATGATGGTTCACCTATAAACTGTTAAATGGTGGGAACCTTAAATCTGTCCACTTGTGGTTAGTATAACTTCTCTCAGCATCTCATCTTTAACCTCATTTCAAATAGAGTTGGGATGCTGTGATAAAAACTGAATTAAATGATTTTAAAATAATTAAATTTTTAATTTTAAAAAAGTAAACGATAAGTATAAAGAAATAGGTGATAAAGGATTTTGCAATCCAAACATTAAAAGAAAACCTGTTTGTTTACCACTTGTTTTTTTAATACTTGTGAGCCCTCCCTATATTCCCAGGCATAAGTGGCTTGCCTCAATTCCTTGGTTTCCTTTCTCACCCTAAGCTCCCAACAAGAGCACAGGCAAAAAGCAGAAATGCCACTATGAGACACTGCACACCCGTGCACTGTTCCTCTTCACTGAAAATTATCCAAATAAAGGGTGTTAAAATCATTTTACACTCCCTAGCACACAGTAATGATACTCTAACTTCAATTTTTAGTAAGATGCACCAAATATTGTCGAGGATACACTAATAAATGATTTATGAAGCTAGGAAGCTAATTTCAGGATTTTATACAGACATTTTAGATTTAACAAAAGCTTTGATGGCTATTTTTTTATTTGGGTGAAATTACAGCTTAGAAAGGAATAGTGAACAAAAATTGATTTCAACATTTCATTCATTCATCTGTTTGTTTACAGTATTTACAGAAAAAAATTGAGATGAATGAATGGCATGGTGAGTATTATACTTAGTGTCAACCATGCAGTGAATGTGAGGGAGTTTAAATGAAGCTGTCATGCTCTTTTCATTAGCAGTTAATGGATCCCGCCTTTAGGGAAATTCAGTCATCTGTAGTATGCATACGCGGGGGTGAGTCTTCTGTGAGCAATTATTCAGTATTTCTGTTCTGTTGTTATTTCTTCATAAAAGTAGAGTGCACTTATAGTGCTCTAGTGTCACTCTAGTCTTGCTTACCTGACATGATTAATAAGTTAAATACTCCTAGAATCAACATGCATACATTGCTTACGTGTATAGTCAGTAAGGCGATAGTGCTGCCTTTGAAGTACAACCATTCTGGCCCTGCTGAAAGTCTTTCGTAGGAATTTTCTGTTGAGGCTTTTATGACTTGTTGGACAGTTTGACATATTTGACGCTGAACTGCAACAAGTGTCAAATTTCTATTTCATCAAGTATGTGTCAATTTCCAATTTGAGTTGTCTTGTTCCTTGAAGATATCGTTCCACAAAGAACAAAACATATCATTTACAGTACAAAATGTGGTGAGTCAGACATCAGAGCCTTTGAAGTTAGTACAAAGAAGGCACATACTCATTTTAAATGCTGTTAATAAGGAACAGATCCAATCTTGCACACAGAGTCTGTTGAACGGTTGATGGAAGATGGGCTTTTATTCTGAGGAGCTTTGAAGTACTCCACCTGGGCAGAGGCTTATCCACGATTTAACAGCAGGGTACAGATCCAATCTAAAAACCCATGTTATTTGAGAGCAGACTCATATAAAAGACTCCTCTTGGGGAGTCACTAGTAAATGATGGGGTAAACTTTCTTTCACACTGGTCAAAAAGAGGCACTTAAAAAGTCTGTTTGGCCAAACTCAGGGATGAGTCATAAGCTTGATGTGCCTAACACCTCATAAATGTGGATGGAGATGAACTTAAAAATACTATTCATGAGCCAGAGTTAGACTTTTCATTTCCCATTTGACATTAAACAATGAAAGTGGTCTAGTTCCTCCAGGTTAGTTTGATGGCAGTTGGAAAACAGTCTCTGGAAAGACTACAGGTTCAGGAGTGCTTTGAAACGCATTGCAGTACAGTGCTTTGTCTCAGCCGGGCAAAGCTCAAAGTCTGTGTGGTCATTCGTGTAGTTGAACTTTAATACTCTAGTACCCTTAGATGTATGCTCTGTGATATATCTTCATGGTTTTGTTGTCCAACGATTAAATGTGTCTAACTTTTCTGTCACACAGAAAAACGATGTGAAAATCAGTCACTATCTGACACCAGACAAACAAAGGTGTGATTTGAAAAGATGTGGAATTACTTGCATTAAAACACAAAGTTTGGCTCTTTAATCATGCTGATACATACAGTAGAAGTAAAAAGCCTGTCTCCTCTCTCACATTACAGCATGCCAGGTTAAAACTTTCCATACCCTCGGGTTCATTGCTGACATAATGCCCAAAGAGAGTTTTCAAGTACATCCATATTAGATAGGATGGGATTTGAGGAAATTGTGTTTTCTTATGGGTTTGTCTTTTTGTTGATTTATTGCTCCCATTTCACATTTTATGAAAGTTTTATAGATTTTTGTTCTTTTCCTTGAGCTTTTCACATTGTCACACTTTGTTTCTTAGTGGAGAGGGAGGCATTAAAATCCCTTAAATGAGTTAGTAAATGAAACATTTACCATATGATTACATATGATGTACGTGTTATATAACTTTACTTTACCCTGTTGAGTATTTTCAGCTATTTATATGCACCCGCTTCAGATGTTGTCACTCCATTCAATGGGATGATTAACGTTGATAATGCCCATTGAATGGACCAAAAACATCCGAAGTCAGTGTTAATGTATTGTATATCCAGCTTCTACAGTGAAATTGCTTCATTATAACCACATCGATTGTTGGACTTTGTATCTGTACATAAGAATTTCATGATGAAAGAACATTCACATAAATGGCATGCTGCCTCTTCTCAGTGATCACTACCTTCCACTAGAACTGAAAGGATGCTTGTGTTTTAGTGTTTTGTTTTGACCACCACTGTTTGCTTCTTAGAAGAGACTAACAGTGGGGGATTTAGAATGATGCCTTTATTGAATTGTTTGTGGGGTTTTTTTGTTCTTTTTTGAAAATCTAGTGAGGATGAGAGGTTTGAACTGGCAGTGTATTGTAAAATGTTTGTGTTAAGGTGTTTTCCCTAATGAATTCATGGCTCTTTACTGCTCTTAAAACACTGACTTTCTGTGGAAAGCATTCTGAGTCATTTTACTATACTCAATATGCTTACTGCTCCAAGTCAACATATGCGACTCAAAAACTTCCACTGATTTCCAATTAATCACGCCAGTCTTATAGATATTACACTTGATTGTTTAAATACAGTGTTTACTATCATTGCATTTAAAATATAGTCTAAGGGTTGTTAGTATACTATTGCTTTATACATAGTTGCATTTACTACAAGGTGCATAAGTGCGCTTTATTAAACAGCTGAGCTTCAGTCTTCCATCTTTCCTTCATAGAAGCGCCTGGTTATTTCTTATGGGGACAGTATTAAAAGTCTAAGTGTATGTAGACTAACGTGATTTCAAAGCATAGTGATATGACCATTTTACACCGAACACAAGCTCCCACAACTGACTGATAACAAAAATATAAAGTTGATATATAGCGCCCTCTTGTGTTACAATTGTAAAACAAACATATGCAGGAAGCTACAGTTAGACATTCTGTTTTTATTATGAAATGTTGCTTTTGCTGATTTATCCTCTCACCCTCTCTTAGAAATATTAAGAAGAGAAACATTCTCAAGTACTTAAAGAAGCACCAGGCTCTGTGTCAAAACAAGGATATAGTAATGACTTGAAAGGGGAACAGTTGAAGCCAAAGATTGTACCTAACCCTCTAGTATGGCAATGGTTCACTGGTCTGTACTAAAAAGACATGAAGACAGAAAGAAAATTAAGAAGCAGTGACTCTTGGTAGAAAGAAGAAAAAGTTGTCAAAGTTGTGCAGTCCTGCGCTATAGAATTAAAATTAAGAGTAAATTGTTCATTTAAAAAAAAAAAGAGCCTAAATGGCCAAAGTAACATATTTTATTGAGTCAAATTTATATCAAAGACCTGCAGCTTCATAGTTTTTGCCATTGTTCCTTTCCGTTATGGTAACGTTGTCTCTAAGTGACACCTCAGAAAACATTGTGTCAAAAGAGAGAATGCTATGTCCCGTGTAACACAGAAAAATGAAACCACAATCAGATAGGTTATTAACATATTTGTAGTTTACATAAATGATATAAACCCAAGTGTTATGGCCCTGTCCATAATCTGTTTTGGTGGCTGTTGTTGTCTGTGCCTTTAAGTCTTTGCAGGTCCCGGAGTGGATGAGCTGATGGCTGCTGATTGGTCCCCTGGCCATGTGATCTTCATTCAAACCCCCACCAGCAGTTGTCCCGGGGCAGCCACTGACAGCAGCAGCAGACCTGACCCTGGCCTCCAAAACCTGAGACTTTTGTGCTTGTGATTTGTGCGGCTTTTCTGAGTTTTGTATATAGTGTGTATATTAGCTTTCATTGTACATAGCACATTGTAAATAGCACTGCAACAGAAGGGGTGAGCTGCCGTATTGTTTTTCCTTGCACTGTTTTCTCCTGTTTATTTCAGTTAGGGAGTTAGGTGTAGCGCTTGTCTTTTGTTTGATGTTTGATTTCACATAGGGTTTTAGATAGCACCTTCTCCTGACTTAGCTTGTTTTGTTTGTTATTTTGGCCTTTGTTCACCCTGGAGCTTCATTTTTGCAGTGTAGATAATAAAACACGATTCACTAAGGAATTGGTTTCCCTCTGTGTATGGTTTTGGGGACCAGGGCGGGGCAGTCTTTTCAAACTTATGTTGCGTTCCTGTACCCCTAGACTGGGGCGTAACACCAAGTATCAAGGTGCCAGATAAAGGGCCACCTCAAATACCACTAATCGCTCCTGAAAATAAAATGCTAGATGGTCTGTAGTGGCGTATGCTGCTAAATTTGACTTGTATGACAGGGATTTTAAAATAGAATGGCAATGTTCTCACGTTCAAATAGGTCTGAAATAAATAAGCATTAGTCCAGCTAATATAGACAAAACTAAAAAAAAAACAGCGAAAAACTAAAAAAGCCTTCATGAACTCATCAGTTTAGCCGTTAGCACTAAAATTACATTTCTGAATACACATAGTAGTGTACGCTTGTCGTTTCTGTCACTGATAAATTGTCTCATGTATGCAGCAGGCCTGTAAGCCACAACGTGTGAAACTGTGAAGGCTGAAAGTGATTCGGAGTTAGTTCACGCTCAGGAACCAACTGTGCTCGTGTGATAGCTAGAACTGTCTCCGACTTTTGAAGGGCAGGTTAAGAAGGAGGAAATCAAAAAAACCACAGTGGAGTGAATAATAAGACTCAGGAGGAGAAAAAAACCCAGTTTATCTTTCATACTGTCTTAGCCTTTATCTTTTGTCATTTGGTGAGACTCAGCTGTATCGTAGTTTTACAGAATAGCATATTTAAAATAAATAGATATTTGCAATGTTATCTAATTATAATTCATTCTATTTATTCCTCAGCTCATTTTTACTTTGCTATCATATCTTCGTGTTCACTAACATAGAGTAAACATTGGTTATGACACTTTATATTAAATTTGACTGTCTTTAGTTACAGCAGAAGTGATGTTTGCAGTTTGATAGTGTGTAGAGAACTTTATATTTCAAGTTACTCTAAAACAATTAAAAACTATACAAAAACGTGGGTGACAGAATATAATTACAGAACTGCCAAACTTTTGCATTCGATATGCCGCTGCAGCTGTTACATATTCCCCTGCTGCTCCATGCTATTTGTTATTTTCCGCTTTTTGACACCATCTGTATTGCTTTGATCCACTCCTTTCTTTCTTGGTCTGTAGCAGCTTGGAGGAAGTAGTGAGTCTCGTCTGCAGTGATGATCTCAAATAGGTTGCCATCAATATCTTTTTTTTTGGCTGAAAGCATTGAAAGACAAGGCGATGAGTTAAAGGGGATGATGTGAAGACAAACTATTAGAAGAAAAGCAACATGTTTATTGCGTGGCGGCAGTCTCACACACCATCAGGCACATAGTCCACAGCTGTGACCACCGCCCCACGGAGGTGGATTGAGCCCAGAGGGTCATCAGCCTGACAAGAAGAAAAGAAATTAGAGGAATATAACAGAAGGAAGACAACTTGTGTAACTAGGGAGGCGTTGTTTCTAAACGATTACCCCTTATTGTTTCAGTTCTTTAAATTATTTTTACCATTATTATTTTGAGCGTAAACTTAGAGGAGAGCGTGCTTTTGCTGTAGCAGCTCCCAAACTGTGGAACTATCTCCCTTTAGAGATTAGACAGGCCACTTCCCTACCTGTTTTTAAGTCACTCCTGAAAGCCCACCTCTTTATGGCCTTTGACACTACGTGAGATGTTGGTTTTAAATTTTCAGTTTTATTTTTGTTGTTTTTAGTTGATATGCTGTTTTATCTTGTTTTCTTTTTTAATATAGGGCTGTTTTAATTTTTATGTATTATGTGTTTTATTTATCTATTTTTGCTGATTTCTGTTATTCTATTGTTTTTAACTTATTTTCTGTACAGCACTTTGATCCTGTGCAGGGTATTTTAAAGTGCTTTATAAATAAAATTGGATTAGATTGCATATCTGCAAAATCAGTATTTACCTTTGCAGGATCGTAGTAATGTATATAGGCAGGGTCATCTCTGAGTATGAATTTTCGCACCTTCCAGTTCTTCCGTCTATGTCCCTGTGACAAATAACACAGTTTGAGTTATCAGAATTTTATTTGATTGTATCACTCAGCAGCGAACACAGGTTTCCTCTTTGAGAGAGTGACACGACTGCTGGAGGTTACTGCTATCTTTATCTCTGTTTTGAAGGATGTTTTGCAGCAAGACAAATGACAACAGTGGCTTCAAATCGGGAGACGTCTGCAGACTTTGTAGGTCAACTTTCTAAGAGTATATGTTGCAACAAAGATGCTGGGACATTTTTCTTGTTTTCTGATTCACCTGTTTAACCAAACAGCCCTGTTTTATGATGTTTCCTCTGAATTCTTCCTTTAGAAGAACATCTTCATCACTGGAGTAGCCTTCACAAAAGAAGCCACTGTCTGCCTGCAAGCACAACAAAACAAATATATATATATATATATAATATACAATGCTTTTGCCGAGTCCATGAAGTCTATGTATAATACAGTTAACATATTGTTAAACGGCAGTGTTTGCTCAGGTTAACTTACAAAATAATAGAGAGCTTTTGTCTCATCTAAGAAGGCTGCTTGCTCTCCGCTTTCTGCTCCCTCTTTTGATAAGTCACCTGCAGGCTGGAGAAAACCCTCATTCATGAGCCCTGTTGCCAACATGAGTGCCTCAGGTCTATTTCTCGCCTTCTCCTTTGAAATCAGCCAGTCTATCACCGTCGCACCTGTGCAAAAATGGGGAAACGGAGAAAAATGGTGACAACATTTGAAGTTAAAAAAGAACTTCTTGCACACCCGTTACATCAACAAAACTGAGCCAGGTGTACCGGTGAAGCAGTGGTTGAAGACTCGATTCTCCTGTTCCAGTTTTAACTCTTTCACGCCTTCATCCTGGTTTTTCATCTCTGTGTACAGCACACTGAGGAAATAATGACAGTGCTGTCAGTGTTGCTTCTTCATTCTATTGAAGTACAAGCACTTTACAGTTCACTGAACCTCACTGAAGTAATGATGTTCCAGTAATTTAGTAGTTGTAGCTAGGCATGCTGGGATATCAGATTTCACATTTTGTATATATGCTGTAACCTTAAAATAGGTACTGTAATCTGATAGCAAGTGTTTATATAATAGACAGACAATTACTGTTAGCTGCTGCTGTAGTTCTTAAAGTATAATGAATAAAATATTAACACAATTTAACACAACATACGCTAGGTTGACTGTTTCAGGCAGGCGAATGGAGCGTCTGGTAGACTTTCTGGCAAACTTTTTTCCCCCTTGGATGCAGGTAATGGCTCTCTTGATGTCCTTGACCCAAAGCTCTCTCTCCTCCACGTATGAGGCTTGAAAAAAGTGATCTTGCTTCTTCTCAGTGGTTATCTTGAAAACCAGCTAAAACAAGCATATTTAGTCAGTCTAACATTTAGAATGCATTGATGGTCTCAATTTGAATCTACCTTTTAGTACTTTTACTGTGGAGTGTGAATAATGAATAATCTCTACATCTAACACTTTAGAACTAGTTCTTAATACATTATATGGACAAAAGCTACTCCTTGTAATGTTTGAATTCAGCTGTTTTTATTCCCACTGCCACAGTGTATGAAATCAAGCACTTAGCCATGCAGTAGGCCTCTACAAGATTTGAAGAGCTTACTGAAACAGGATGCCTGATTGCAACAAGTCAGTCAGTGAAATTTTCCTTCTTCTTCTTTTCCCCGGTCAGCTGTGAGTGGCCTTATTGTAAAATGGAAGCACTTAGGAGTCACGACAGCTCAACCACAAAGTGGGAGACCACATAAAGCTGCAGGGTGGGGTCACTAAGTGTGCAAAAGTCACCAATGTGCCAATGACTCAATAACTGCAGTTTTTGAGTCAGTAGAGTTCCCACCCTCTTTTTTTCCATATAGCAACATTTTCTTACCATCCTCTTGACAAAATCCTGACAAGGGCTGCTCAGTGTTGCTCCCTTCAATGGGATCATCCCTTTAGGTGAACGGTCTGTTTTCTTTTTATAGAAGTCCACTCCATCTTCTGACAACACCACCCACACTGCACTCCAGGAGTTTAGCAATGTACCCTGAGGATCAATAAGAAATAAGCTGCTTTAACACAAAAAAAACAAAAAAATAATAATATATATATATATATATATTTATATATATATATATATATATATATGTGTGTGTGTGTGTGTGTGTGTATTATTATCTATATCGTATGTGTGTGTGTGTGTGTGTATATAAGTATATATATATATAATATTACAAAAACTTCTCGTGCCTATGGTAGGACAACTTTTCTCCGTGCCCCTGGTACACGGCCCACACTCGGCCACGCTTGCTTGTCCGGTGTGTGGACAAGCGGTGTGTGGAAGAATACGTTTATTTTGTACATCCACACACCATCCTGCTTAGAATTACATGTGGTAACAGCTATGTAATACTTTGTATACATTTATTTTTAAAATATAAAACACCGTGCCTTAAAGGCCACTGGTCACTTATATAAAACAAACCAAAGTGTCACCTTTTCGTTTAAATAATGTAGCAAGAAGAAATTTAATTATGTTTTGATTTTGAATGAATTCCCTTAAATAAACAAATAATCATATTTCCCATGCGGACTCTGATCTAAAGTGCAACATTAACAAGCACGCTTAAAAAGGAAAGCAGGGTATACTTTCTTGGCCCCTTGTTTGTGACATGTAAATGCAGAAATGAATCTGCAGCTTGGGGAATCTGTTAGTAGACTGCTTTCACTTTGGGTTTGTGCTTATAGATGTTTAATTTCACCTGTTTGGGTTAAGACAAACCATTATATCTGTCAAGCTCGCAGTGTTCTCTGCTCCATTCACTCCTTAGGGAACTAAACTTTTAACGTGTGATTTGATCTGAAGACCTTTTCAAAAGACTTATTTAATTATTATTTAACAAATTATAATCAACTATTTAAATTATTTAACAAAATAGTTAAATTAATGAATATCATCCTAAAGTGGTATAGTTTTCAATCAAGTGGCCTTTTGTCCGGGGTCCAGATGATGAAGTTCAATGCAAAATAAGCCTTTGAGTAGCTCTAGAATTTCATCACAGGAAAAGACTGCACACATTTGACTCGTGGCAATAACAACGCCTTTTGGAATTATGTGCTCTGGCCATCAAAAATGTAAAAAAAATGTTTTATTGAAAAATAAAAAGGCCATAAAAAACCTTTCCAGATTTAACATCAGCACCCACATTGTGGGCCAGAATACAATGCAGTGAGTTTCCATTGCTGAGGCATGATATGTAGGCGGCCCAGTATTTTTGTCCATATAGTCTAAATTTAGATATGTCATCCATGAGACATGGCTATGACTAACACCACTCACACTGTCATACATCTTTCATAATTGAACAAGCGAAAGGTCATCATTTCTACATAGCTGTTGTCATGCACGCTGAAAAGAAAACCAGTGTCACAAAACTTAAAACACTTCCTGAATGGCCTTTGATCAGCATTTCAAGTGTGTGGAAAGAAAAAAGTCACACCTAGACACAAAAAGAACAGTGTGCTGATGTACCTACCAATTGTATGAACATTGACATTCATAATAAATTCCATTGTGCATGCAGGAAATGGCTTGTCATCTAAGTGTGTGAATATTCTTCATAGTGATTGTGTAGTACATTGGAATTTGTCTATTCGTTACATCTTTTCACTGGTTTTCACAGCACTGTTTGATGACAGCGCATTGCAAATGACATTGTTTCAGGTCATATATTCAAATGTTCTCTTTGAGCGACAGTTTATAAGTAGAACAAGGCCACAACACATTCATGTTTTACTTCGTGTTGTAAACAGAAGTAGGAACTTGAGTCACTGTTGCGACTACAGAACAGAAATGTGCAGTTGACTGTCATGAAGTACCTTTCAAGAAACTTGTATCGCTGTTTCCGATTGAGTAAAACAATGTTAGTTTTTTGCTATTCCTGAATGACATATTGTCTTTTTGTGAAGTAAATCTTTTTCTGCAGGTGTCCTGATTTCCTTTTCAAGTGGCTGTTCTTTCATCTTAGTTTGAAACCTCAGAAGTTGCCCTACCCTTTTTATTCAAATTGTTGTTGTGGGTTTATTTTTCTTTGAAAATTATTTTTTACTTAAATTTAGTTATTACACTGAATTGACAATGGATAAAAAAAAATCTAGTCTTGTCATTCCCTCAATTTTGTTTTTGTTTCATTATCAAAAAATAATGAAACAAAAACAATAGTATTACAGGAAGTAACAATAGTATTTTATACTTACTTTATCAATACTTTAAAGAAGCTCTGTGTTCACAAAGACAATGGCAAGAACTTTCTGGTAGTTTTCATGTAGTTATTCTTACCTTTTTTACTAAGTATCCCTCTCTGATCTCTTGTGGCTCCATCACGCTGCTGTCTGCTGCAAATGTGACTCTTGTCAGTAACTGTCAAAAAAACACCCTCTTATCCATGTCACCTCTCTCTCTCTCTGTGTGTCACTGTCAAACCACAAAGAACAGCGTACCATGAGCAGGAAGTTGTGCTCTTGGGTGTCTGCCAATAAAGACTGGTCAGCTAGCTTCCTCTTCTCTGCGATATAATTAGTTTGTGCTGCTCTGCTGAAGTGTCTAAATTTTATAGTGTTAAATTTAAAGAAATAGCATTCGAGTTCTAATAATAGATGCCCTTGTTTGCGTGTCATTATGGTAAATTTCTGTTTCTATCCATTTCAACAGAGAAGCTTGTACTGGTAAAAGTATTTGTATTCAGCTTACTGTAAATCTGCTGCATTTAGACACCTTCAAACCAAAATTTTAAGCCATTTTTGCTGTGTTAGTCAACTTGTATTTCCCCTACTGTATTTCTGTCTTTTTTTGTTGTTGTGTTCTTTCCCCACTGTGTTCCTTCTTTGTCTTTTTAACACTGCGTTGAATTTGTCGTGATGTCCAGCAGCAGATCAAGTGGAGCAGAGGGAGGACCTAATTGCTGACCCGTGGAGAGCAGAGTTAACAGAAGGTGAGCAGTTTATCCAGGCTGGTTGGCAAAACACTACAAAAATAAGAAAACCAAACTAAATGAGGAACTAACCATGAAACAAGCCAAAACCAAAATGGGGGGATAAAGTAGTCGTATTACCAGCCAACTCAAGAACAATGAACAGAATTTTACTATTTTATGGCTCAGAAACAAAGTTTTCCAGCTGGGGGAGAGCATCTAGGGAAGAGGCAGTCTTGGCAGGAAGGATCATAAGGAACCCAGCATCGGCTGATGTGGCCTGGGAAACAGTGGAACCTCCAGCGGGCTGGGCAGCAGGCCCTCCGGCAACCACCGGCAGCCACCGCCCATGCCTCAAAATTTTCATAAACAAAATCTGCTGCGTCTATTCTGATCAGGGCATACTGTCATGATCTCCGGCAGCAAATCGAGTGGAGCGGAGAGACGACCCAAATGCAGACAGTTGAAGACCTGTCTTAACAGAAGGACAATGTACACACTGCGGGGTGATCAGGGAAGTGGAAACACATGGGAACACAAAAAGTTGATTTTGTTCATCTGGACATAACATTTTCAGTGGGAGGCCTGACAAGTTAGACCTGTGTTGTGCCATCCGCTTAGGCAGAGGCTGTTTGGTTTTCTCAACATATAAATCATTTCAATCCTCCTGGCAATTACTCTGTTTGTGTCGAGGAACCCAATCCTTGGGGTGGACCAATTTTTGGCGCAGTGTGTTTTGGGAGTTGAAAGCTACAGAATGTTTAGAAAAAATACTTCGCAACTGTTCTGATACTCCTGACACATAAGGGATCACTAAGGGTTTTCGCTTAGACAGCAGTTGTCCTTCTTTCCTGGATCGGCTGGAGCTTTCTTTAGGTGGCTTCCCGGCTTTGACAAATGTCAAGCTGGGATCATCACGTCGACTCAGGGCCTTTTTGAAGTGTTTTTGTTCTTCGCTGGCCGCTGTATCTGTGGGGATGGTGTTTGGTCTGTGTTGTAGCGTCCCGATGACACCCAGTTTGAAAGATGATGAGAGTCAAACCTTAAATACTGATCTGTATGCGTTGCTTACAGTACACATTAACTTTTAAATGTCCCCCATTACTGACTGAAATCTCTTAAGAAGGCTAGTCTGTCATTTCTCATATCCTCCCTGGTGAACTTGATGTATTTGTTCTCTGGTTTAATGTGATCAGTGAATTTGGTACATCCTGATCTCTGATTTTCACCCAGTTGTCATCCACATACCTGAACCAATGACTTCGTGGTGTTCCAGGATAACAGGGCCCTCTTTTCCACTTCTTCCAAGTAAAAGTTGGCCTCAATGGGTGAAACTGGGGAACCCACGGCACAGCCATGTTTCTGCCTGTAGTACTGACCGTTGTATGTGAGGGTCAGTATGAAGACACAGTTCTGAGAGCAAACATACTCGGTTGGTGCTGAGTCTAAAACACAAACTCTTGGTCAAAGACCCATGACAGATACATTTGTACATCTTACATAAGGCACAAAAAAAACTATTTTTGCCTGCAAACAGAAAGAAGAAACAGATTTGTTAGCATTAAGCATGAATTGGAAACATGGGAGATATGTCAGCGTAATAGGAATATTCATTAGTAAGCATCTAAGGTACATGAACTTAATGTAATTTGACTCTCCACCATCCATCTGGGACTCTCCACCATTTGACCTTAGAACTGAAGAAGCTTCTCGGATGAGAGGTGAAACGTCTTCAAGTAACTTAAAGAAGTCCAGACGCTTTTCTTTGCAAGCTCCTTTGACTACGATGACCTGGATGACTGAGAACCTTCACAGACATAATGTAATTTGACCTTGCTCCTCAGAAGCTGTGCTTAGCTTCTTGGTTTTCACTTCGTTTCTGACATAAAACTCCCAAATCCTCTTTTGCTGTATGTTTATGAAAATCAATACTTTCCCAGTTTCAAGCCAAAGGTTCCACTTTCCCTTTTCATATGCATTGAAAATATGTCTAAACAAACATGTTTTGGGTTTTTTTTGTTTTGTTTTTTTACTTTGCAATATTATCACTTTACATACACTGTGTTCAGTATAAGTCAGAAATAAATGTCAAAGTTTATTCTCCACTACACTACACTACAAAGCAGATTAAGTATGTATAATCAGAAATTCTGTGTATGACTTCATCTAAAAATGTATGATTGAAAGTGTTCATATAACACTTTCAATCATACGTGTTTTCAAACTTAACTGAAGCTTTAGCAGATTTTAGCAAAGTATGCAGACTAAATTTTAAAAAGCGATAACAGCTTCAAACAGCCTGTTTATTACATATATATAATATGCTTGCAACTACAGTTGCCCTTTGCGCTCTTGTGAAAAACCAGTTAATCCCATGATTCAGGGGTATGTAGAAGCATCCTTAGTGGTAATTATTTGAAGTAACTGTTTTCTGCATGACATTAGTCTCTCACAACATTGTGGAGGGCTTTTGGCCATGGCCACGGACATCTCAACATGCAAACTGGAGAAGCGCTGACCTTCCTAGCAGTGGATGACCCGCTCTACCTCCTGAGACAGATGATAAAATATTTTATAATTACAAATTGCAGTTCTGAGAAACATTAAATATGATCTTTTCATTAACCATTAAAAAGAATTTACAGTCCCACCTTGTTCATCAACTTGTTATCAAGAACGTGCCTGCCACAACGTTTCACAACCAGCTGTCATTTGTTGGCATGAAAGGAAGTCTGCTTATCTGTTGTTTCAGGTTTCAACATGATGATTCAGCTGTCTGTTTCACCAGAATTAGTCACATTTTACCAAAGAAACTGTCAGAGGTGACCTCCTAGATGCTGGTGACAGAATCTAAAATTGTATTTATTTGTGCAAGATTGCAAGTAGTTTTTACTTTCACACTTTTCTTCTTTTAACTTATTTTAGTTAGAGTTTTAATATTATTTCTTGAGAACTAAAATATAAATTTAGTCATGTTGATTTTCTGTTCTGCAACCTTGATTGAGCTCAACGGTATATCTAAAGTGAATTGTAAAATGAGTGATGTTGTTTTGAGATAATGTGACATCATAGCTTTGCCTAAGCAAACACCTCCTCCTTTTGTTCAAACCTTTTAATTTAATTTCGTTTTCTTTTGTTTTTTTGTGATGTTTTTAATGCACCTCTAGAGGGCATAATAACTACATTTAAAACTAAACGCAACACATGAATCCAGGAACACTCACTTGATTTAGCTCAAAAGTGTGAATGATCCTGAGAAAGTCATGCTAAAGATGGCTAAATAACTAATTAATTTACTAGCTCAACTGTTACAAGCTTTCACATGTCCAGAAATCTCCCCAGTGATGTGTAAGAGATTAAAATGCAACTGCCTTCCTTTAATCATCCAGTTTCTTTCTTCTTCTTCTTTTCTTGTGAGGCTATGATGATCTCATTCCTATAAACACGGATCACAGGAACGTTCCCGATGACCGTGGCATTTATCAAAAAGGACACCAGCCATACTGTTGTCTGTCTGGCTTGAGTCATGCTTTCCTCTTGCCCATGCTATGAATAAAGATCAAGGGGGATGGTATTTATAAGTTTTATTAATAAATCCTGGAGCAGTGTGTATCATTAACCATCAACATGAGAGCCATCTCTCTGTGTTGGTGATTGAAAAGGGGTTACAGTGTGGAATATTAATTTTTTCAAAGCAAACAAAGAGATGTAACCTTGCTTCTTCTTCTATGAGCTATAAAAGTGCCACATAAAAAAAAACTGTATTATGATGATGCACTGTATGTCTCGGGGGTAAGGAGACAAAACATCTGTCAGCACTAAGAGTCTGGAGGAGACATGTAAGGCACTGTAAGTATGATGAAATCAAGGAAACAGTACCACCCCCACTCACTTCAAATCACACACCCACTGTTCACACCTGAAACTACTTGTGGTCATCCATTGTTAAACACCTACACTGCCAAGAAGGCTCACACACATAATGCGATGTGACCACGCATGATAAGGTGCTGCAAGTTTCTGTGTAATACAGGAAAATTGAAAATGCAATACAGCTTTCCAGTGAGTCAGTTTGGGTTTAGGTGGGTGGGTTGGTTTTTTCACTACATTTCTCACACACTTTTTTTTTTAAAGTTACACTTCCACAAATTAAAGTGAAAGCTTGTACTTCTTATAACACTTTGTATAGCTAACTGACAAAACTGCTTATAGTTATAGGTTATTTTTAAGGTGCTTGTCATTTTGCATAGTTTTCACTTGGTCCCCGTACAATTCAGCATCAACTATCAGCCTACAGTATCTGACAGCTGTGGCAACTCAGCAAATTCAAAATTGACAAACAAAAAAATATGTGAGCACATAATTAATGCTTTTTGCATTTTGAAATTAGCTCCGCATGCACAAGCTACAATGATTAAACAGTGAGCTTTTAGTAATAAAATAAATGGATCAACTATTATCTGCAATAACATCAAAGTACCCATAATGCAAAATTATAC